TAGCAAACACTACTGCAAACAGACATCATCAAGCTATATCCAGATTGCTTCCAACATTTATGGTGATTATTGGATGCTTCCAACCTCTTAGCTGCTTTCAGCAAATGATTTCCACAACACACATGCACAAATATATCACTTTGGGTCAGGGTAGTATACTTCATAATTTAAGATTAAAACTATGTTTGACTTAGATTGTAAAATCTGATTGCATGGGTAATCCAAGGCAAATTCTTAAATGATCTCAAGGTCTTTACTGCTTTGTTTTGAGGGCTGCCAAAAGTTAAGCCTTTTTGAGTTGAGATATTTTCATAAAAATATATCACTACAAAGTCAGTGTTGCTCATATATTTATATGTGTTTTCTTATTAGGTACTAAATGTTTATAATTGTTGTATCTTCTTGGTAACTGGAACCTTTATAGTATAATTGTCTCTTGTAACCTGTTTTAAATTCCAAGTTCTCTTTTTTGATTAAGATTGTATTTATATGGAATAGCAGTTCTCGTCCCTTCACTGTGAGTCTATTTTAAACAGTGTGTAGTTAGGTCATATTTTTGGTCCTCTACCAATCTCTGGAAAGTTACACTTACACTTAAAGTAGCTGCTAATGAAAAAGAACTTCTATAATTTGCTGTTTGCTTTCTGTATAACCATATAGCTTTTGCCCTTCATTTCTGGCCTATCTTAGTTGAGTTAATAATTTGTTGTGAAACATTTAAATTCTTCATTTATTTTTGTGTGTATTCTATAGAATTTTGTTTTTACTATGTGAGGCTTGTGTTTGAGTTCTTATCACACTGTAGTTTGAGTTTATATCATCTTAAACTCAATAAATTACTAACAGTGTTCTACATTCATCTCATTTATTGTTGATATCACAAAATTACCTTTACATATTGTATGCCCCAAATGTAAGCTTATAACCTTTGAAATATATTAATTTCTTAACTTTTGTATAAAACAAAATATCAAGTTGTACCCAGAGTTATTATTGTTTAGAGTACCTACCTGTTAACTTACCTTTATTAGAACTTTATTTCATGTGATTTTAGGCTATTAGTGCCTATTCATTTCCCTTATATTCTGGTCTGGTCTGGTGGTAATACAATATCTATCTATCTATCCATCCATCCATCCATCCATCTACCTATCTATTATCTACATATCTATCTATCTATCTCTATCTATTAAATCTAGGAACATTTTTTAAAAGATTTATTTATGTGTTTGAGTACACTGTAGCTGTCTTCAGACACACCAGAAGAAGGCATCAGATCCCATTACAGATGGTTGTGAGCCACCATGTGGTTGCTGGGAATTGAATTCAGGACCTCTGGGAGAGCAGCCAGTGCTTTTAACTGCTGAGCCATCTCTCCAGCCCTTAAATCTAGAAACATTTTAATTTCTCCTTGCTTTTGAATGCTGATGCAGCTGGGTATAGGTTTCTTTGACAATTTTTTGTTTAGCACTTTGAACTGATTGGCATCCACTTGCAGTGTGATAACAAACCCTGCTAATAGTCTTAGAAGACTTCGTGGCCTCGTTCTTTCATGCTGCTTTCACAAGTCCTTGCCCTTCAGAGTTTGAAAGTGCTGGGACTGCAGGTGTGCATCATTGCCTAACATGCATATTGATTAGTTTGATTGGATCTTCTACTTCAGTAACTTAAGCAGTTGTAATATAATAATGCTTTTGCTGAGAAAATTTATATGCTTATCATCAGTATATACATATTTTCTCCTTTCATTGAATGTTGCTTTATGAGAGTTTTTAATAGAACATAGCTTCTCATCTAAGTTTACCTACTTTGTTAAGTACAGTTTCATTAAATATTTATGTAAATTGTTTTCAGTAGTACACACAATGCATAGTTACCCCAGAATCTTTTGTTTATATATGCATTTCCTTCCAATTTTATTTTATTTTTAATTTTTGTTTTAACATTTTGAGACAGGGATTGCTATGCAGCCAAGACTGGCCTTGAATTTGTTATGCTACCTCAATCTCCAAGTGAGTGGAGAATAAAATTATGAGATTAAATCTCTGAGCGTTTGATTTTACCAAAAGAGCTGCCAGCTGTCTTCTTAAAAGGTTATATCTGTTAACATTTTTGACAGTAATGAAAGTGCAAATTTCAGTTACTTTCTTTTTGCCACATTGAACTCTGTAGTTAAAATATATTTCCTGCTTCTTAGGTTAAAAAGATAACAACTTGCTGGATGTCATGTGGCATGGGTCTTTAATCCCACCAGCACTTGGCACAGCAAAGACAGGAGTATCTCTGCGAGTTTAAGGTCAACCTAATCATCATGACAAGTTTCAGACCAACCAAGGCTACAAAGAGATATGCTATATCCCCCTCATCTCTGCTTCTTCTTCCCCCACCCCGCCCTTGCCCCCTTCATTGGTTTTGTTTTTTAATAAATTACCATCTGTTTTCCTCATTTTCTATTTGGTTCCTCCAACTAGTCAGTAATGCTGTTCTAGTATTTTAGTATCCTATTTTTCTTTAAACAATTGGCTTTATTTATTGAAGTTTTTAAACAATAACAAAATCCTTTTAAAAATATGTTTATTCTGTGAACCAGGAGCCTTTTGTGGCTGATGAATACATTGAACGTCTCGTGTGGAGAACCCCAGGAGGTGGTTCTAGGGGTGGACCTGAAGCTTTTGATCCTAAAAGGTAAACTTAAAAAAAAAATTCATAGTCCTAATATAGTACTACAAATTGTGTTTAGAATAATATTGGGATTCCTTTGAGTATTCATATAAAATGACTTTAATTAACAGTTTGTTCCTGCCTCAAAAATTTTTCTTAGCAGCATTAGAAGTCTGAGATTGTGTTTTTCCTTAAGCACTTTAGCTGATTAGATAAAAGGATTTTATCCTTTATTAAAAATTTAATTTTTCCATTTAAATTAGCATTATATTAGAAAAGGCTGGTTATGCTTCTGGAGATACAACATGACTGGGTATGGTATTATATACCTGTAATCACAGTACTCTAGAGGCTGAGGCTGGGTTATGAGTTGGAGGTTAGCCTAGAACACATAGCAAAACCCTGACTCTGAATAAGCAAATTAATAACTATGTTCTTTTAAATTTAATAGCTATAAATCAGAAATAGAGTCATTAAAATCTATAATGTGTACAATTTTTGTTGTACATTTGTGTTCTTGAATTTTAAACAAAGTAGAGCTTGTTTGGATATTTAATGGGGATTTATTGAGGTTTTTATTTACCTTAGAGATAATCCATTGCACAGTCAATAACAACTGGCTGTATTTCAAAATGCTATGTATTGTTGAGTCATGTGACCTGTTCAAAGTGAAAAGAAAGTTATGACATTAAAGAAATTGCAGCAAGATGCTATAAAGAAAATGAATATGCGGATCCCTATCTCAGAGGACCCTTGTTAAAACCTTTGTAAAGCTGGTCTGTTCCTCATGGTTAATAGTAGGCAAACCGATTGTACTGTTACTTTCCTCTACTAGGTTACTAGAAGAATTTGTGAATCATATTCAAGAACTACAGATAATGGATGAAAGGATTCAAAAGAAAGTGGAGAAATTAGAACAGCAGTGTCAGAAGGAAGCTAAGGAGTTTGCTAAGAAGGTACAAGAGCTCCAGAAAAGCAACCAGGTACATAGTTAGCTAAGAAATGAGTAGTTTATATAGACTATAATAACATTTTCCTTTTTCTTAGAGTATAGTACCTTCATTTTTTTTTTAACTTTAGGCCTTTCATTAGTCATGTTAAATTTTATTAACTTCTAACTCTCTGGTCCTGTGGAAGAACATATTAATGTCTTGTTACTGTTTACTGTCAGCATTGTCGTTGGCGTTGGCATGCTACTAGATGGGTTCAGAATCCCAGCACTACCCTTCTCAGGTTAGGATGTTAGATGCTTGAGAGTGACCCTTGTTTCAATTCTTAATGGAGTAACCTTTCACAAGACTGGCTAGTTCATAGCCCTGCATTTTGAGAAATACCTTATTAGTATGGATATTTAAATAGTCATTTTAATTCTATTTAATCATAAATAAGACCAGAACTGGATTACATTATTCCCTAGAGTAGTAGTTTTTAACCTTCCTAATGCTGTGACCCTTTAATGCTGTTCTGACCTCCAACCATAAAATTATTTTGTTGCTACTTTATAGCTGTAATGTGGCTATTGTTAAGAATCATAACGTAAATATTTGATATGTCAGATATCTGATACATGATCCCCAAAGGGGTTGCAAACTGCAAGTTGAAAACCACTGCCCTCAAGAAATCTGGCATGAGTAGTTTCACAAAAGTCATTAGGATATGCCTCAGTGAAGATTCTACTTTAACGGTGAGAAAAACAGGTGTACAGTTCTCCTCAGTCCACTTTCCAGTAACACCAAACCACTAGTCTGCCCCAGGGATATGCTTGCCAGACCTCTTAGCTCTTCTTAGGTCCTAAAGTTCACCTGAATGTCAGAATCTCTTTGACTGTCTTGGTTTAATTTGGAATTTATCTTTGTTAAGTGTAGTTTAAAGAACATTGTTGAACTTTGTTTACTCTCAGGGGCTGTTTTTCAAATTCTTTGGAATTAGCAAACTCGTTTCTGCTAAAACGTCATTTTATGTATTTGGTTAAAGAAGTCAGTAATTTATGTATGTTAAGTGTGTTTTTGAATAACCATGGTGACAGTTTCCATATACTTCTAATAAAGCTTTGCCTTGAGTAATAAAAAAACAACATTAATAGTTGAGGTTACAAACTGGAGCTAGTCTGCGTGAGTTTGAATTGTAACCTGTCCACTAAGCTAATTGTATAATTTCAAGTAATTTGACATCTCCAAGCTTTGTGTTTTTATGTGTAAAATGGATTGTGATAACTAAAGAAGTAAATATATTAGTAGCAATATATAATTGATAAGTGATATATTTAGAATAGTATCTAATGCAAAGCAAGTCCTCAATAAATGTTTCATCTTTGCTCCTTTAAGAGTAGAACAAAAGGTGCTCTCTTCGTCAGCGCATATACTAAAGTTGGAACAATACAGAGAAGATTAGCATGGCCCCTGTGCAAGGATCGCATGCAAATTTGTGAAGTGTTCCATATTTTCAAGTGATTATGGGACTCTATTTATTGTTCTACTTGTTCTTTGACTGTCTGGGTTTATTGTCTTGCTTGTTCCTTGAGTATTTGCATCTATTGTATTGCTAGTTCCTCAACCTAGAACTGATCTTAATACTTGCATGTAATTTAAATGGCATAAAAGCAGAAAGGAGGAGGAGGGATGGGATAGAGGATAATGGGGAGGAGGAATAGGGAAGAGGGATAACATCTGAAATGTAATAAAATAAAATATCAAATAAAAAAAGAGTGGAACAAGAGAATCCTATTGAATTTTCAGCAGTTATCAATTGTCCTGCTATTGGCAAGTCTGAGGAATTCATTGCATTGTTTTTAATGTGTTGTAGGACAAAGGAAAGAAAATGCTGAAAGTAATACAATTTTGCTTTAGTAAGACAATTGCTATAGCCTATTCTGTTTTCAAAACTTGGAAAGAACAATTTTATCGTCACTGCGTTTGGAAGGAAGTATTAAGACAGAGTCTTGCTGTGTAGCTCACAGTGGCCACTCCCTTGCATTGTTTTCCTATCTCGATGTCCCATGTGCTGAAGTCATATCACGTACCAACACACCCAGCTTAGCATTGCTTTTTAGATACCTTCAATATTAATTTTTTTAATCAATATACCGTTTAAGCTTCTGATACATTTTTAAAGATCTTTCCAGTGTGGTAGCAAGTGTTCTTTAAAAGTAATTCCATGAGCTAGAGAGGTGGCTCTTGGGTAAAGTACTTGCCATGCAAGCATGAGAACCTGAGTTCCTAAAAAGCTGGGTTCAGTGTCTGCATGTATCTGTAACCCCAGCAACGAACAGGGATGAGATGAAGAGGTGGAAAAAACAGACAAGATTTCTTTGAGCTTGCATGTTGGAATGGCAGCAAGCGCTCTAATTTCAGAGAGTTCCTGTCTCTCGGTATAACGTGGATCAATAGAGGAAGGCTCCTGATGTTGACCTCTGACCTTTACACTGCATTGCATAGGCACGTGTACCTCCTGACATGCATATTTGCCCTCCTCCAGAACTAGTCCTTGGAGGTTTAATTGTTTTCACAACCATTTAGGGCTTTTGGGTGCCTGCAGTATAAAAGTTAAGACTTTTTAGATTGTGTCATGCTAGTGAGTATGAATTGTTTTATGGTCGTCTTATATAAGTTTTGGTGAGGTTGGTATGTGATCTACCATTAATGTCCTGATCTGGTAGTTTACTTTTAATAGGTATTATATTGCAAACTTAATTCTCTGACTGTATTGTCTCTGTGCACAAATTCCTAGGTTGCTTTCCAACATTTTCAAGAACTAGATGAGCACATTAGCTATGTAGCTACCAAAGTGTGTCACCTTGGAGACCAGTTGGAAGGGGTAAACACACCTAGGCAACGTGCAGTGGAGGCACAGAAATTGATGAAATACTTTAATGAGTTTCTAGATGGAGAATTGAAATCTGATGTTTTTACTAATTCTGAAAAGGTAAGTATTGTCAAAAGAAATAATCAAATTTTAATTGGTTTGCCTTGTATTTTTAAAAAGATCTATTTATATGTGGGGGATGCATACACCTGTGCACAGTTGCCTTGCATTTTCATGAAGTTACAAATAGTTTATAAATGCTGAGGTAACTGTATTTTTAAGTATTTCTTTATTTAACTATTAATAAAATGTATATAGTCTTTAATAGTTCTATATTATTAGGTGATAGATCTGACCAAAAGTGGTGATGAGTTGAAATGGCTTTCTGTAAAGGAATTTACAAGCCCTTGCTTTTATTTACTTGAATAAAGATCCCTTATAAAGAACTAAAGCAGCTTAGATCATGATCATTGAAAACTCTGAATGGTTGTTATTCTCATAACATAGTCACCTAATTGTCATCTAAAGATATATAGTGTTGGTTGTTCTACAATCTTGAGAGAAGGCAACTTGGCTTGCTTTCCTCCCTTTAGAGGGAAAACTCAAACTGTATGAGTAAAAAAGGTATCCTCATGAATCATGTATCCTCCTTGTACTTTTACCCACTCATGTGTTGAATACAGTCTTACAGATTTATTCCAAATTTACTGTATAGAACATCAGATTTTAAGATGTTAAAAGCTAATTATTAAAGACCTTTGCTTTGAATTAAGCAACATATTCTTATGAGTAGGACTCTATAAAGCCAAAGGATTTATAATTTTTAGATGTAAAAAAAAATGGTTACATGTCTGTAGATAATCCCTCTAAAGAAAAGATAGCATTTAAAAGATTGAATTTCAAGAATTATAGAATAGTCCTGATTATATCATTAAAGTGTGATGCTTAAGGATTTGTTAAATACTGGTAGTATTGTTTTATATTTATTCAAGGGTATATATGGACTTGAACAGTAAATTGCATGTCAGGATAGGTCTGTAATTTTAAAGCTTTTTTTCCTAAATATTAATAAGTATAGCATGAAAGGGGCCTGACCTTAAGAATGGTGTATATACCCAGTGAGACTCCATTAGAGAAAGGTAATTTTTCATTTGTAAGCAATTATCAATTGAGGATAGCTTCTGAGTTAGGAATCCCATCAGACCCAGACCTGTGTAGGCCTTGTATGTGCTATCACAGTTTCTGTGAGCTCACATGTAGATTAGTCCTGCTATGTTTAGAAGGCCATGTTTCCTTGATGTCTCCCATCCTCTCTTGTTCCTACAATCTTTCTGCCTCTCCTGCAGGGTTCCCTGAGCCTTAAGAGGAGAGAAATGATGGAGACATCCATTTAGGGCAGTTCTCCAAGGTCTTTGTGGGTATTAGTTGTCATCTAGTGTAGGAGAAAGCATCCAGCATGATGGCTGAGTGAGGCGCTGTTCTACTGTTTTAGCTGAACATCATTAGGCACCATTTCATTGCTATGTTCCTTTTGAAGTTCAGGATGGTAATTTAGAAACTTAGAAAGAAGTATCTATATTTAGATTGACTGATTTTTAAAAGCTGGATTTATACTTACTTGAATGTTTACTCTTTAAACTTTAAAAATTTTAAATTACCTTCAACTAATCACATAGCTTTTGATGTTACTGTTGTCTACTAATCTCTTTAGGTTTTAGTTGAAAGAAAATAGCCTTTACATTGTTAGTATCTTTCTTGATTACTAAGTGGTCTGTAATTGGAGACTCACAGTATTAAGTCAATTTTTCTCCTTTGCTTCACTCTCATTTGTATCCTGGTTTCTGTTGTTGTTTATCTAGTGTGCTCTATATTTTATTCTGCTTTTCCCACTTGCCTTGTTTTCTTTGTCTCTTGGTTACTGTTTAATAATGAAGAGTCATCAGTTTTTGGCTTGGAACTGTAACAGCTAGCATATGTTAAGAATGTATATGTGGGGTTGTGAGAGTTGCCTTAGTGGTTAAGAGAGCACATAGTTTATCTTGCAGAAGACAAAGGTTCTGTTCCCAGAATCCACATGGGTAGTTGACAACTATTCATATTTCCAGTTCCAGGGAGTCCAACACCCTTTTCTGACCTCTGTGGCCACCAAGCGTACATGTAGTACACATACATACATGCAAGCAAAGGACACACACATAAAATTAAGTAAATAAATAAATTTCTAATTCATGGTGATGTTAGATTGAAAATTATCAAGTAAATTTCTGGCTATCTCAGTTTTAGGATTTTTGCCAGCCATTTTCCCAATGGAGAGAAAAGGAAGTCGCCCACATAGCTCTAGGAGGTTTGACTGTAGGAGGGATTAGAAGTGGATGAAATGTCAAGCACATCATACTACTTTTTTCCTTCTTGTCTTCGTGTGTGTGTGTGTGTGTGTGTGTGTGTGTGTCCCTTCCTTATTCTTACTGCATACATTAAACAAAGTGTGCAGTCTTGTAAGGACATTGTCATTTTTGCTCTAAAAAAACTGTTTTATGTTTATTTCTATCTTTACATGTGTGTATACACGTATGTATGTTTCCTTTTCCTTTCTTAAGACAGGTTCTCCTGTAGTGCAGGCTGTCCTCAAGTTCTATACATAGCCAAAGATGACTTTGAGTTTCTGATCTTCCTTCATCTCTTAGGTGCTGGGTACAGGTGTGCATCAGCACACTGGTTTTTATAGGATGCTGGGGGTAGAACTCAGGGCTTGTGCATGCTAGGCAAACACTCTACAGACTGAGCTGCACTTTATTCTTACACTAGTATCTTAGTGCTTTTTTGTGTATAAGACCTGATAAATATTGTAAACTGTTTTAAACTGCTTAAATGCAAACTGTTTATGAGGTGTTGTTTTGGTACCTTTTTGTATTTATTGATGCATATTTTAAGTGATATTGAAATCTCAAGGGCTATATATACTTTAAACAATTCTTACCAAACAATTAGCTCTGAGGATTCAATAAAAATACCTTTTAAAAAACAGAAGTGTGGTTCTTCTACTACTACATCAAGCAAATTTCCGAACAGCATACTTCCTGAAAGAAGTAAGAACAAACAAAACCCTGATGAAAGCAGAGCTGGGTATTAGCTGTGTTCTGAAGAGGAGGCTGCTGAGGAAAAGTGATGTGCGTCACTAGTCAGACTGCATGGCATGGAGGATAGTGAGACTGGAGGACACCTGTACTCACCTGTTAGGGTGACATTGAGTGACCTGCTGAGTCAGACAGGGAGAGGTCTGAAGCAGGAATACCACTGTGCACTGTCATATGGAATGAATGGAATAAGCAAGAGCGAGCCCTGCTGCTCTCCCTTGCCAGGGATAGCATGAGCATGTGGAGAAGTCTGTACTAATGTTCTTAGCCCTTATTTCTTGGTTATGTGACTCTTCTTTTTATCTGTAAGAATATGAATCATCACAAAGAGTTATTAAATTGTGCCAAAATAAAAGTACTAAACTGCAAGTTAAAGGAAGAAGTAGCTCCTATATGACTTCCCTGTACTGTTTCATAAATAAGCATAAATGTCTACACTTAAAGAATTTTAGAAACCTTGCCTAAGTTCCTTTGTTCAACTTGAAAATGAATACTTGAAATTGTATTCA